AACCTCATCACCAGAAGCAAACTTCCTCAAGCCCAGTACACACCAAAAGGATCCAGACCGTGCCAGGACAAGAAATGCAAAACCTGCCGACACATCTCCACCACCCCCACAATTACTGCACCCCACAACAGAGCCATCAGCATCCCAGGATCTTACAGCTGCACCTCCAGAAATGTAATATATCTCATCCAATGCACCAAATGCCCTGATGGAAAATACATAGGAGAGACCAAACAACAACTGCGCACCAGAATGAATGCACACCGGAAATCCATCAAAGACAGAAATACCCAATTACCAGTGGGGGCACATTTCTCACAGGAGGGCCACTCTCTCTCCAATCTCTCAGTCCTGATCCTCAAGGGAAACTTACACAACACTTCCCAGAGATGGGCCTATGACCTCCATTTCATCAATCTCCTGGATACTAGAGATCATGGACTAAACATAGACATTGGATTTTTGATGCATTATAATCTGCCTGGCAACTGACTCCCCAGCCCAGCCCAGCCCAGCCCAGCCCAGCCCAGCCCCTGGCTTCTTTACTTTTCATTCCATCCAGGAAGAGCACACACCAACTGCTGAAACTTCCTTAGCCTGACGAAGGGTTTTTGAACTCGAAAGCTTGCTTAATAACTATTCTCCAACTATTTGGGTTCGTCTAATAAAAGATATCAAATTCACCCAAGGAACCTTGTCTGCCTATGACCAAACAAAGACATTGGTAGCCAAATCCCTAGGAGTTGCCTACGTTTGACTTGAGGAAAGTTAAAAATAAGCTTAGTCAGTTCCTACCCACTTCCCTGTAAGAGGCATGACACCTAGCTTTGTCCACTTTCTTTTTAGAAACATGGACCCTATCAGGGGAAAGCCAGTAGGACATAACTGGGGGATGGGGGGGTGGAGAAGTATACAAAACCTAATATTGCCGTGATTTATTCTGTGATGAGATTTCAGAATGGTGAAGCTCACATGATACCACAAGATTTGGAAACCACTTTCAGCTGTATTTGCAGTTGTTTGTTACTAATTGTTTTACAGTCGGCATACCTTGTGACAGTTTCCATGCCTTAGTTTAGACTTCTGGAGATATTCTACTTTACTATTGATTTAAATTTGTTGCAATTTTCTAGACAAGTTAAAACAAGTGAACATTGCCAATAAAGAAAGAGATTCCCTATCATTTTATTTCTGAAGAAATCATCTCTGAAATAAAGGTTTCAGACATGCTGCTCGATTTCACCATCTGCCTGAAAGTTCTCCTTCAGAAACATTTTCTGATTACAGTACCACAAAATTATTTACTAATTTTAGAGCTGAGTGAAATTTGGATTTCTATCCCATGGGAAATGTCAACAATAAATTTTTCATCTTAAAAACAAGATGATTAGAATTTCAAGATTTTACACAGAGTTAAACTTAAAAAAAATTGTTACTGAAACATTTCATTTTAATGTTTTCATTAAAAACACTGATATTCCTAAAGCCAAAATGTTTTGGTTTATAGAAATGACCTCAAACATTTAATTTCATCTCAACTGTATTTCCCTGTAGGACTGGATTTTCAGCACAAATTCACCTATAATGTACCATGCATCTCCATCAAGCAAAAGAAAAAGAAAAAGAAAAAAATCTCTTTTACATCCGGTCAAATTCATTAGAATTAAATATCTCATTTTGTTTGGTCAAAGCTATTCCAATATAAAATGTTTTCCATTATATTTTAAATTTCTCTCAGTTAAGTCACCAAATCCAAATACTCTGAAACTGCAGAAGTCCTACTAACCTAAGTGCTGCTGTTTAAAAAAAGGTGGCTGTAGAAGCAGCCATACCTGAAGGATGATAGGGGAAGGGTGGGTTCTTAACTTTATTATGTTACTGGCCATAAGAAATGTCTACTGTATTGAACAGGGAGATAAGGAAGCCTGCTTAATAGCAAACTATAGTAGGAAGTTAATAAAACAGGTTCAGATCAAACAACTCATAAGTTGGGTCAGTAAACAAGTTAGAAAAACATGTTCATGTCATGGGGTTTGAAGAAAAACCTAGGGTGCATCCAAAGTTACAGGTTAGTTTTATTAAGGCTGGAAACAGATCTAAAGGATATCTACTGAAGCAGCCAGAAGGACACCAAAACTAATAATGCAGTGTGAGACTGTTGGCCATGACTGATTAGTAAAAACTGAACAGGTAAAAAAGGTAGAAATGTTTAAATTGCTTGTATATCAGGGCTACAAAATCTAGATAAGCAAGAGGAACTGGATATGCTCACTGATAAGGCAAAATTAATTTCTGAAACCTGACAGGATAACTCTCACAACTGGAATGTTAAAATAAAGGGTAAAGCCAAATGTAACAACTGTATCAATGTCAACAGCTTATTATTTACTCTGACCCAAACAAGGATGCTTGAAGCCCAGAAGCTTGTCCACCAGCTCTCTCAACTACTCAAATGGCTCACTAAAAGATGCCTAAAAATACTTGCCTCCCAGATTAGACTATTTACCATGTAATTCTTATCTACATGCTCCTGTATTAATGCTAATGTAGCAAAGCTGTTGCAATTTCAACCATATTTCATTCCAGGTTAAAGTTACAGAAATTTAGCAAAATTTGTATTCCTACAGAAATATGCATGTATAACAAGTTATGAACAAAATTACACTTGGATCAGCTTCCAAAGAGAGAGACAGGAGCTAATACTTGAACCATGCAGCAGCTACTATCCTAGGAATAGAACATGTGCATGTAGCAATACGAGTGTTGCAAAACAGTTCCAACTGCAACCCTGATTCCTCCAGGGGACAAGTTCAGGCAATTTAACTTATTTGTATTTCTACCTCAGTAATCAGGCCTATGCAACAGAGCATAACAGTTGATATCTCTTGAGCAGCAGCTCAC